TGTAGACAGAAACAGGTATTTTTACCTTGATGTCTCCCAGCTCTTCTCTGCCTGTCCTGTTGGTGACTCCCTGAGAGGGGGAGCTGGCTTGCTTGAGAGCCTGTTGATTGTTGATGGGAGGTTCTGATAGCCTTAATCACAAAGAAGCAGTCATTTGTTTCAAAAAGAAAGTAAGAGGCAGCAGTGGGGGCCTGAGAGAAGGAGGGAGTCCATATAGGTGCATGGTTGGTTTTCAGAGCACTTTTTCTCTACCCATGGTGGACATCTCATCTTTTATCTTGCTAAAGATCAGAGAGGTCTGAAAGCAGGTAGATGCACTGGCTGCTCAAGGAGTGTGAGGAAAGTGGAGCTTGGAAGAGAAGACGGAGAGAGGAACTGAGTCTCCACTGTGAATTTTGGCTCACGGTGGTGATGAGGTTGGACTTGCCCTGAGAGATGGCAGGAATCAGAGAGGGGTTTTTAGCCCCACGTGTAACATGTTATGGAACAGTGTAGGGAATTCAGTGCGACCACAGTGAAGGTCCCAAGGTATTTGTTCCTTGTGTATTCTAAAGAGAAGTAAAGTCTGAGCGAGGTCCCCAAATAACAGCTAAGTTTGGCCTTTAACACATGTATTTATGGATACACTGGTGGGGAGTCAGGGAAGGTACTGGCTGAAGAGGGGTAAACAGAGGTCCTGCACATTTTTCAGGTAGCCATAAGAGGCACAATTTCACAGTGCAGATTTCACCCCACTTTAAGTAAAGTGTCCTTCAACAATCTTGCTAACTATATATTCTGTTACTGTCATGGAGCAAAAAACCCTTTATAGACTGATAGATACTACAAATTCATATGCTCTAAGATTAAGCCCTTTGCTGTGGTGTAAATATTTCTACTCTTATCCAAATTCAAGATAGGAGTGTGGGGGCTGGAGATTTAGTTCAGCAGCATAAGCGCCTGCCTTGTAAGCAGGCAGTCATGAGTTCGATACCCGGTACCGATAAAAAGGAAAAAGACAAAAAAAAAAAAAACAAAAAGATAGGAGTGTGAGGAATGCAGAGCTTAGAAGAGACTCACCTGACTCAGCACAGCCCTTCTGCCTCTCCCTCTCGCCTTCACTTTCCCACTGTGAGAAGGGCCAGCCCAGCAGTGTAGTAACAGGTCACACTCAGTTACTCACTCCCGATAGGCCAGACACTATTATCAGGACTTTATTTACACCTAAGAAATTTAGTCTTCTTAGCAACCCTATCCATAGATAGAAGTGAGGATATTAAAGCAAGGGTTGCCATGGTTTAAAGAGGAAGTACCCCCAAAGACCCAAGAATTGAGTTGTTGATCACAATGTAGCAATATCAAGATTGGGGCTACAGAGACAGTTCAGAGGGTAATTCGCAACTACTCTGCAAACATGGATTCTAAAATACCATGGAATTCTGACAAAATGTCTGCTGTTAGGCAAGAAATTTCAAACTATAAGTAACGAGACAAAAGTTAAATAATGGGAAGTAGAAAGAGAAACCATTCTCAAGTGGGAAGGGAATCAAGGGATGGAGTGAGCAGGGAGTACAGGGGAAAAGTAAAATAGGCAATCAGGATGCAATTGTAGGGAAGAGGATGTAAGAGCATTTGAGATGAGTGATGTGCGTGCACGAACTTCTCACAATGAAATAGAATACTACATACTGCAAACATTTACTAATTATAACTGCACTAAAACATTACATGAAAATTTTACAATTTAATGCAGTAGCTAATGGACTCCTTAGCTATTTAAATGTAAGTTACTTAAAATGAAATAAAATTTAAGATTGAGTTTCTCTGCAGAACTGGAAATTTCTGTGAGACAGCACTGCTCTGAAGAGATTGTAAGCAAGGAAGGAAGGAGCCATACTTGTTTGCTTAGAGACCCAGAGGCTAAATGGGCTTTGTTGGGTGCTTTACCATAGAAACTCAAATACCATTTCATGTCTCTTTTGCTCTGAGATAAGCAAATTCACCCACTGGCTCATTCATGCATTCACGCACACTTTCTGAGCGCCTACCATTTCCCAGCACCTCTGTTACATTCTAGGGTTGGAAGGATTAGTAACAATGCACAACCCCTGCCTTGGGGAGCTCCCCGGACGATGGTAATGGTGATGTTTTAGTGGCAATGAACGGGGAGGGTTACATATTAGGGAAAAGGAGGAAGGAAAGAGCCTTATGATGGACATGTATCTGCAGCTTGGGTAAAGCGTGATAAAGACAAAAGGAAAGCCACAGTGATGACAGTGTCGATAGTTCAGCATGCAGGAGTCCTGAGGAAATTCTTCAAATGTACTTTTCACAGTGTGGAGAGGAAGCTCCCGAACGAAGAAAATCGCCTGTGCTCAGACATTTAGGGCCTCGGCCAGAGGAGAGCACAGGCCTCTCGTTCTACTCCAGGACTCTTTCTAGGTTCTTACTGCTTTATAGTGGCTTTTTATGGCTGAGGTTGCATTTGCTTTTAAAAAATTACACTCAGTTTTTTCCATTCAACTACTTAGACTAAACTATTTGTATTTTTAGCTTATTTTTTTAAAAGAAGCATAATTTGATATATAAATATATAATTTGATGTATAGATACATACATGTACATATATGTTATTTATTTTAGTTTTATTAGTTTTTTGTTACCTGGAATCAAACTCAGGATCTGTGTTTGTCACGCACACACTTTGCTACTGGGCTAACTCCCTGGCCCCCTAATCTGACACTTTTAATGTGATAGGAAGCTTGCTTTGAGTCCCGCTAGGTTCAAGTAGAAATCATGAATCTTTTGTACCAATAGTGATGCCAGCTCTGCAGTTCAGCCTGGAAGACTCGGGCCCATCATCAGGAGGAAGAGCCTTTGTAAGGAAAGGGCTGGGAAGTACAGTCTGCACATCACCTACGGAACTAATAAAAGTGCCAGATAAACACTCTAAGGTTTAGAACAATGATGATATGTTGGACAGTGTTGTGAATGACAGAAGAGGACCCTGTCTATTTAACAGTAGTTAAGTGGTGATGGGAATAAAGTCTGAAACAGAGGCCCAGGGCCAAGCTCCAGGAGGGAAGGCGGGCTGCTCACCAAAGATAGGACATCCACAGCAGCTGCAAGTCAGGGCGAAGGTGGCCTCAGCAGCTCCTTCTCTCTGCATGTCCAGTATTCTCTGTACACACGTGTGTGACGTCCTTTTCCCAGAACACAGAATGCTTGATTCTATGAAACAGACATTGTTCTATCAATCATATTAAACCATGTCATCATATTAAACTCTGTCCCCTGCCTGGGAGGTGAGGTTCTCCATCTCTACATTCAATAATTGTTTACCAGTTGTTTACCACGCCCAGAAGTGGAGCTCATGACAGCAAAGGGAGACCATCATTGGGTATAGTTACTCTGGCCAGGGCACAGGACACTAGGACTTGCCTGAGTATTCAGACCTGTGGCCTCAGGAACAATTGGAGCCCTAGAGACAAGAGGCTTCTACCCGGAGGAGTGCTGCATTCAATCAGGGCTGGAGGCCTGAAGGATGGGAGAGTGAAGGCTACAAGTGAAGAGGCCAATGCCAAGGTCCAGGGAAAGAGGAGAGAGAAAGGGGGTGAGGGTAGTTGTCTAGGGCTGACTCAGAGACAGGAAGTGCGGTGGTAGACCCACTGGGCATCATCGCCTCTGCGCTTTGTGACATACAGGAGCATCCCAAGATCCCTGGAAGCATTCTTATGCTGTCTGCCCAAGGCCAGTGCCAGATAGGGGGCTCCACAATGCCAGGTTCCCCACATGTCACCCTAACTCCCTGTTCCTGCCTCCAAGGCAGGGAGGAGGCAAGTGAGCGGATCCTCCTATCTCTCTTTCCCTCACCTTGTCCCTGCCTAGTGAAATGCAGCTCAATATCCACATACCTGGCTTTGGGTTCTGTACTGCCCTGTGATATATTTCAAAAGGGAGACTGCTTGGAGCTGTGGAGTCACCCACATCATCAGAGAGCAAATCCCTGAATGGAGACAGCACTGGACCTTGAGGACAATTCTATAAAAATTAAGTGTATATAATGACAATTAGGATAGGAAAATTTCCTAAGTGTCTGCAAACAAAATTTTGAGCTCAAAGTCATTTTTCTACGTGTGCTACATATATATCCACATCTTCACACAAGTATACACACTTGTGCATACAAATACATGCAAACACAAAAATATGCATACACATGTGTGCACATATAAGTACACATAATTATGCACATAGCATATGTGTATCCATATATACGCACATAGAAGTCTGAAAGAAAAATAATGTTAATGCTTAATTTTAAAAATATTTATTACAGTAAAAGACAGATTCCCAGGAGTCTCCTGTAAAATACTCCCCCTTGCTTCAGACACACTGATTCTTGCCGCTTTTTGGGCAGTTCTGGAAGTTCTCTTTCCTGGTGTCATCACTTGCCCTGTTGCGGCTGCCTCCACATCCTGAGTTGATTCCAGTCATTCATTGTTCATGGTGTTTTCAACTTTGGGGAAGAGCCAGAAGTTGCGTGGAACCAAATTTACTGATGAAGGTGGCTGAGGACACATTGTAGGATTAAGAGCTGCGTAACCATAGGGTGGCACACAGCAGAGACATTCACTGGAGAGACATTCACACCTCACGCAGACACTCAGAAAGAAGACTTCCAGAACTGCGTCAGAATGGGGCGAGAATGAGGGCTCAGTGTGGTTAGACAGAGGGGAGTATTTCAAGGGAGATTAAGGCCCATCCATCTTCTACTTAATACAGTTTTAAAATGCGAACATTAACTATATGCTTTGATCCACTTTGAAGGTGCACAGTGTGCAGACACACACATTCTATGCATGCATACTTAGTCCATGAGCGGTAGGATGTCACCCTACATGTTAGAGCACCCTAGGCCTCTGTACTTGAGAGCTGTTCATTAATGTTCACTGAAAAGCAAACCTCTGCTGTGTCAGTCGTGTTTTTTTATTGTTGATCATTGCTCCTGGAAGTTAATGTTTGAACCTGGCTGTGAAGAAATCCACAGCTGCTGACCTATAGTCCATGAGGGAGAAGAAGAAACCCCTATAAAACAGCCACCAGTGGGTAGCCCATCCTACTGAGCTGGGCTAACTGTGGAGAGGGAGCCTTGTGGCCACCATGAACTTCACCGGCAAGTACCAACTGCAGAGCCAGGAAAACTTCGAGGCCTTTGTGAAGGCAGTGGGTGAGTGCTGCACAGGCCAACAAGGCCACTGGTCACTGCAGTGGAGGTCTGGCCACACAGGCAGTGGCAGTTGAATGTAAGTTGTTGGGATGGGGTGGGAATTTCTTGCACTTGTGCCATTACTCACTGGACAAGGCCACCAGGAGGTAAGTAGGAAGATCATTCAGCTAAGGTGGAATCAGGATTGAAGCCAACATCACAGGCACTTCATTGTGAGCCCTGTTCACTCGCTCATACATACATTCATTCATTCATTCTCCTAACAAATGCTGATCCAAAGACAGCCACACGTCAAGCACTCTGCTGGATGCCTACCTAGCAGGGAGCTAAATAATGAAGAGGCACATTCCATGTTTCCATGGGAGTTAAAGCATGTCACCCCCTCCCTCACAGGGATCAGAGTGTTCTTCTACAGCGGGTCACTCCTGAAGTGACAGGAGGAGCTACTAGTATTTAGTCCAGGACACCAAGTACAAAATGCTGTAGGTATGCCAAGAAACCTGGCCTTGGCATACCTACAGCATGAGAGGAGAAAACACAAGAAATAAATGCAACAAGTATCCCTTAACATGCAGGAGGGATAATGCTACCAGGCACTGGGCTGAGCACTTGATAAGCAATGACTCATTTAATCCTCACCAAAAACTGAGTTGAGGACTATTATTTCCTCCTTTTACAACCGAGGCTGAGAAAGGTAAGCTGGCCTGACTTGGGTCACATGACTGGAAGTGTCTGGGTTGGGACTGGAAGCAGGCGCTGCTTCCCAGGGATCTAGCTTTGACCCCCTGCCTCCCACAGTGCAGAGGTGTGGAGGGAGGGAAGGGGGTGGTGAAGGGGAGGCTGGGAAGATGAGCAGGTGCCCCCTAGGGGGCTGGGGAGGGGAGAACGTTCACAAGCGGCAGCCTTGTGAGCAGAAGCTACAGTGTGGCCAGAGAGGGAGCAGAGAAGGAGAAGAGGAAGGAAACAGCCCAGCAGAAGGAGGCCGTTCAGGGTGCCTGAGAGCACAGGGCTTTTGTAGAGAAATCACCCTGCTTCTGTCTTTCAAGTTAGTGACATGTGTAACAGGACTCCCTGAGGTTTGCTGCTGGAAGAGCCTGTGAACAAGCATTCCTACTAAAGCCCAGGTTTGCTTGGCATACCTACACTTTGTACTTGGTGTCCTGGCCTAAATATTAGTAGTTCCTGTCACCTCAGGAGTGACTCCTTGTGGGAGGAAAACCCTCTGGTCCCTCTGGGTGTGGAGGGTGACATGCCTTAACTCCCAGAGCAGAGCAGCTAAGGGAGGAAGGAGAGAAGGAGGAGAAAGAGCCAGAAGCCGAGGACCCACAGCAAATAGAAAGGTTCAAGGTTGCAGCAGCCAGGCCAGGCTGCCCTCCCTCCCCATCTGAGGCTGCAGCCCTTGCTGCTTGGAAGGCCCCGAGTCTGTGGCCTCCTCCTGCCCATGTCACAGTTTCTCTCATCTGCTTCAGCCTTGAGACTGTAGCACTGCTGTCTCTAAACCTCGGATGGTTTCCACCAGGGTTGCCTGATGACGTCATCCAGAAGGGGAAGGATGTCAAGGGGGTGATAACAGAAATCGTGCAGAATGGCAAGCACTTCAAGTTCATCATCAGCACAGGGCCAAAAGTGACCAAGAATGAATTCACCTTGGGACAGGAGTGTGAATTAGAGACCATGACTGGGGATAAGGCCAAGGTAAGAGAAGCCCCTCTCAACATGTTCTGCTTCTGGAATATTCCATGGAGTCTGGTCCTATGGCTTTCTGACTTACAGAATCCTGACCTTCACATCTCCCATCCTTGATACCCTATGTCTAAGCTTTATCTTGAGTGGGAAAACCAGAGAATTTGTAGGGAAGCTGTTTTTATTTTTCTGGGTCCTGCAAGAGGGTCCTATGCTTCCCCCAGCAGAGTTCTGCCTCATGGAACAAGGAAAGAAACCAAGCAAAGAACAGGATTCCAAATTTCCAATTCCCTGAGGCCCAGGCTGCTGACTCTCAAAGTTCCCTGAACAGGCTCCAGCAATGGGGGTGGAGGGGTCAAAGAAAACCTGTAATTAATTAACCCCAATCTCTGTGGCCTTCACTGAACTCAAAGTGGAAGGGACAGGAAGAGATGTCTTGGAAGAGCACTGGCCACACCAGAATCTCAGGACCCAGGCAGGCACTCAGAACAAACCTTGGGCTGCTCACTGAGCTGATAGCCTTGGCTCCCCTGTCTGGGCAAAGGAGAAATCAGCCTTCCATGCTGAAGGCAGTGCTGGGCAGCTCCATCGCCACAGGTCTGACACTCCAAGACACAGCAACACCCAGGACCTGACCTCTGCCCCTCCCATGACACACTAAACACCCCAGTGTAGCTGGCACCACCAAGCAGCCCTCTTTGCTGCTCCCCAGGTGACTGTGCACTGGGCTCAACATGCTGTCCCCATCTCTTCCTATTGATCTTGATTTCTCCTCTGCAGATGTCACACTAGAGACTGGAGTGCATTTCAGGACTTCCTGGGCTATACCCATGGGAAGGGACAGGAGAGCATGGTTCTACCACGGGCCTTCTGCAAGTGTCCGTGGAAGGGAATTCTCAAGCTTAGCAGGGTCCTGTGCTCCTGGTTGTGTTTCTGTGCTCTCTCCTCCTGGGTGGCTCAGGCTTGGATATGAGAGCACAACAGGGATGACAGGTGTTCCCAGAGGACCCACACAGACCAGAGCAATATGTGTGCAGGCCCTGAATTCTGATGCCACCTCCCCCCCACTGGCTTGGAGAGCTGAGACCTCAGTGCTTGTGTTCCAGCATTTGTCCTGGGCACCACTCAGCTGTCCTGTGCTCTTTTCTAGATCACACAGCACAAACTGAAGTCTGACAGAGACATCCTGATGTTTTCTCTCTGTCTTCCGTGCTCATTTCCCCTGTTAGCATGCAGGGTCAGAAGCACAGGGACCAGAGTGTGTTGACTGTCATCAGCTGACACCTGCACAGGGGAACCAATCATTAGTGAGAGTCTCACTCTCCACAGACCCTGCCTCACAGGCCTCTCTGTCCCTGACAGGCCGTGGTTACCATGGAAGGTGACAAGCTGGTGACAACTTTCAAAAATATCAGATCTGTGACTGAACTCAATGGGGACATCCTGACCAGCGTAAGTTGGTGCTCTGAACCTGTGACTCGGTGCTGAGGGAGGAGGAGGGGGTGAAGGGGGAGGGGCAGCTGCACTCCTCACTCCATGCCTCACTTTCTCTCTTGAGCGCCCAACTCTCTGCCTTTCTATATCTTTCCCCACTTCCTTGAGGTTCCTTGTGTAGCAGGTAGTTTATACAGCATCTCTAAGCTTCCCAACTGCAGATTCCTAAAGGGGAAACTGAGGCAAGAAACAGCCATGGAATGATAGGTCCAGGTTCCTCTGACTGGGTCAGTCTCTCGGGGCTGCCATCACACGGCTGTCCCCATGGGAAAGGACTCACCCCCATAGGCCATGTGAGTTTCTATATTGATGGCTGTGGTCTATAAATATGGAGAATGTTTACATTTTTAAAACATTTACTACGGTAAAACACATTGCCATAATGCTCCACAAAAGCTTCCCTTCAAACAGATTTATTCCAATTTCTTGCCAGTTTTTGAGGCATCTCCGGAAGGTTTCTTCTGTGAGTGTCTTTTGTTGTGTTACCCTCCCCTCCATGTCCTGAACTGATTCAAAATCTTTACCTTTCAAGATCATTTTGATTTTGGCAGAGAGATAGAAGTTGTATGGTCCCAAATCCAATGGATAGCATGCATAAGGACTTGCCCTAGTGCTTGTATAAGACTGCTTTTCCATGGATGGCAGTAGGCAATGACATCTATCATGATTTTGATCACAACCATTCAAGGCATCCATGAAATAGGACTTTGAGAACTGCTTTAGAAAAGGGTAAAAGGATGGGATAAAGGGGGTGTTTTTTTAATTTGGATTAATGATGATGTGTCTATTACAGTAATACATTGGGGGGGGGATTCACTGTATTTTTGGATCATGCTTTCGTACATCTTGTAGCAGCCTTGTTCTAACCAAACCAGTGTAGCATCACCAGCAGATTTTCCAACAGATAGAGAGCGGGATCTTGAGGAGCAGACACTCTTTTCTAACTCACCATAGCCATCATGAGAACTGGCGTCAACTCGCCTGGTGTCCCCACCTCCCTCAGGCTGTCCTGTCCTGGCCCCTCTCCTTCCCTTCTTCCTTCCCTCCTGACTCCTCACCCCCATGTCCTCTCCCCTCTTCCCTAATGCCATGGAGTAAGAGGGTTTGGCAGGAAAGGCTCAGGGACACGCAGAGTGACCAGCACAGCTCACGCTTCCTGTCTGCAATGGGACAAAGTTCAGAGTAGAGGGCAGAAGCCATTCAACCTACAGGTGTCCCCTCCCCCCCTTCCCCCAGGCCTCACTGGGTCACAGAAGAGCCATTCTCATGCATGTCGCACACAGCAGCAGCAGGCTCTTTCATTGCTTCTATGCCATCACACAGTTAACAGTCACAAGCTTCCCTTCTGCGTCAGCGCTAACCACCAAACCACAGGGCTCTCCAGCTGCCCTGCAAACCCCAAGGGTCTAATCAATACCCATTTGGCATCATAAGGATCACATTTTTGGCAAATGCATGGCCGCTGTGAGTGTCGCACTCCAGGTCTGCAGGGGTCCTCAGTGCTTGGCTGTTGCCCACGGTCCTATCCCCAGTTTCAGAGTCAATCTGCAGAACTTCTCCTGCAGTTGTGTCCCTCTTGCTCTGTTTTGCTCCCAACGTTTGCTTCAGCAAATCACAGAAGGCAGAACCAGCCCAGGAGGCTGTGGTCTCCAGGTTCAAGTGGGAGCATCCCTCAGCCAGGGACACTGTGAGCATTAACCAGGAAATGCACAGTTCCTGTGCCCATACTGGTACCATCACCACAGGACAGGGGACAGGAGATGAGCTGTCCATCTTACCCAGTCCTCCTCTGTCCTATGAAGGAGGCAGGCCCAGGGGTCACTAATCAGGTCCACCTCTTTAAGGTCACTCAGGTGATGACATAAATGACAATCTAAGGCTCCAATCCAATCCACTCTATTGTTCCTAAAGCTGAGGAGCTCTTTAGTCACTCTGACAGGCTGTGTCACTACAGCCATCTTGTTCAAGAGAAGATGATGGAGGGAGCATCCTGAAGGAGCCCTAAAGCTGATGCCTCTGTGGTTTTCACCTGCTTTATTTACAGTTTCAGGAGGAAAATCTGGCAGTGTCCATGACGTCCCAGGGTACTTGCCTTGGTATTCTATGCACATGTCCTTGGTGCTCAGCTTGGTTTTGACACATGGCAGGTGCTCAATTAAAACTTTGAGAAATTGAATTGGACTGGGCAAGTTTGGGTGATCTTGCAATCACATCCATTGATGTAGAAAAGTCATCAGCCAATCGCAGCAAACCTCTCCAGCAAAGGAAGCACAGCAGTGTAGAAAGAAGATTTCAGGAAAAATATATTCAGTCCTTCCTCTGGTCCTTGAGGAATCACTGATTTGAGGAATCAGGAAGTTGCTTCATGTGTTACCATATTTGAGGATATTTAGGGTGCTTAATGATTTAATTTTACTGTTTATTATCAGATGAACATTTTATGATTTCTTTTCTATCCTTCAGACCATGACCCTGGGTGACATTGTCTTCAAGAGAATCAGCAAGAGAATTTAGACAAGTCTGCCTTTCATACTCTTTTACTGTGTAAAATTAATCTAATAAAATGAACTTTGTTTAAAGAAAACATCTTTTTGTGTGATGACTCTTGGGTATTGTGAGCTCTGATCATTTACATTTTGCATACATTGGTGACCCACATGTCAATCAGCTCTAACCTGAGTTTTATTCTTATCCTGAATACAAAATCTAAACTTTCTGTCCATGACAGAAAGGCCAGGTGTGCCTAGATCCACAGGTGGCCTGGGAATGCTCTTCCCAGGCAGCTACATGGACAGTGAGATGGTGAAAGAGGCTGTGCCATCGGCTGGCAATTGTGGTGACTCCCACAGGGATAGGGACCAAGCACCTTGGGCAGGCAAGGGACAGATGTGCCCTTGAGGACACCCAGTCCCACTCCCCACCATGAATGGATAGGCACAAGGGCTCCAGCATTGACCAACCAGAGAATGACTGTCCACTACTGGAGGCCTGGGTGAAGGTCTTAATGATGGCAGCCAGAATCTGACAGAAGTACCTTGGACAGAAACTCCCTCCACACTGCAGGGAGAGGCAGGAGAGAAAGTCCCTGAACACTGCTTTTAATAGGCAGTTCACAAAGTGTGTTTATATTCACAGTAATCAGGAATGAAGGATGTAATGAGGAGCTCAAAATAAAAACCCCCAGTACAATGCCCCTCTGCCACACCACCCTGCCTTGGAACCAGCCAGCTATGAACTGAACCTCTACAAACTGTGAGCTATGATAAACATTTCCTCTTTTAACTTTAGCTATCAGGTATTTCTCAGCAATGAGAAGAGTAATAAGCCAGCACCCCATAGTTTTTTTGTATTTTTTACTAGAAATATCAGAGGAGATCCTAAAGTATCCAGGGGTATTCACTCTTCAAGGAGTAAGGAAAGCAGGACTTGGAAAAAGAAAGCAGATAAGGAATCGAGTCACTCCTGGGAATTTCCTTTTCCACTGGCGATGAGCTTGGTCTTGACATGGGAGTCAGTGAGGCAGCAGAGACTGGGTTTTTAGCTCTAAGAGTAACATGATATGAAATCCATTATAGAAAACTCACTCTGAAAAGATATATATATTCACACACAAGATAGTTAATTGTACTATTGATCCTGCTAGTTCAGGGGAAAGAAACTGTGATTTGTTTTGCGTGCCTGTATCTTGTGATCTGAACAACTATTTTGAAGATAACACTATGCAATATAGTGACTGTTGTTAATTTACTATCAGCTTATTTTAAAGTCCTGTATCAGTTCTACTATTTTGTTTTGTTTTAGTTTCTTTAAAGTAAAATTTTTTTAAAAGAAAGAAAAGAAATTATTCTGGCCATAATGAAGGATCCAGGTATATTTGTTCTCTTGCCTTCTGAAGAAAAGGGAACCCTGAGAAATTCTCCCAAGCAACAGCTCTATCTGGCCTTTGACAAGTGGGTTGTGGATGCACTGTTAGTGTGCATTAGGCTGAAGAGCAGTGAGCAAAGGTCTCACACATGTTTTGTGTGGCCGTGTGGTATTCAAGTTTCACAGTACAGGTTTCACCCTAGTTTAAGTAAAGATACCCTCAATAGTCTTTCTAAGTATCCATTCTATTGCTCCCATTCAGCTGAAACCCTTTTATAGACTGATAAACACTAGCAATCCATGAGCTTGAAGATTAAGCCAGTTACCGTGGTGTAAATATTTCCAACCTGTCCAAGTTCAAGATTGACTGTGATGAGTGCAGACCTGGAAGAGATGTGCACAGTGAGCTCTCCCAGCTGACTTCAGGTGTGCTCCTGGGTGCCAATAGCCCTCACTGTCACTTTCATTTTCTAATTATGAGCATCCCGGCAGCGCGTGAATGGAAGCAGTGTAATAAGAGCTCCCACCCAATTGAGCACGTAGAATAAGCCAGGCACTGTTTCTCAGGGCTTTACGTACAGTTAAGAAACTCAGAACTCACTGCAACTCTAGGTAGAGAAAGAAATGAACCCGAGGATGGGTAGTCATGGATTGAATAGGAAGTGTCCCATAAAGAGTCATGTGTTTGGGGGTTGATCACCAGTCCAGCAATGTTTAGAGTTGGTGTCTAGAAAGGAAATCGTATCATGAGCGTGCTGACCTCATTAGCACATTTGTTCACTGTGAAGCCGTGGCTGAATGGGCTAATAGCTAGTGGAGTTCAGTTAAGCAAAGGAGATCAGCGTGCTTTGAAGTCCTGTGAAGGATACACCTTGTCCCCAGCCCCTTCCTCTCTGGCTTGTCTGCCACTATCTGTTTTCTGAATGCCATGAATTGAGCGACTTTTCTCTTCCATGCCCTTTCTCCAGGTGATTTCTGTCTTACAGCATCCAGCCATGGTCTGAAGCATCTCAAGCCATGAGCTAAATTAATGTTTCCCACTTTAAGTTTGTTTGTGTTAGGTATTTTATCCCAATGAAAACTGACAAATAAACACTTGAGTGAACTAATAAATCCAAAGTCACATAGCTAATATTAAGAGAGCTAAAGTATAGGCAAACGTACATGTTTTCTCAGTGTCTATGCTCTTTAAAACTACACTATTAGATAATTAGCTATGTAGTTACTGTTGAGTATGAATCTCTTGTTAGTGGAGATAAAATTGTTCTGTTCTGGTTTGTTTGTGTTTTGATCTTTTTGACACAGGGTCTTGCTAGCCTCAGGCTCACTTTGTAGCCCAGGCTGGTCTTGAATTTGCAATGATCCTCCTGCCTCAACCTCCTGAATGCTGGGATTACAGGAGTGCACCACCACACCCAGCTAAATTGTTCTATTTAGTAGATCTTAAAATCAATATTTGGTTGGTCTTAGTGCTTATGCTGTAATTGTAGAACTCTCTTCTGTAGTTGATAGTGTTACATTTCGGTCCTAGGGTATGTCAATTGACCTTATTACTATAGCCAAGGTAACATAGTTGCTACTTTCAATTTATATATCAATATGCCAATACCTGGACTACCTTGGCAACTGAGTAATGAGTCGATACACAGCAGCCTTGCCTTCTAAGTGAAAGAAGGAAGGGGGATTTGGGGGCTGAGGCAAAGGCCTATTGTTAGCCACACTCAGAGTGCAGCACTGAAAACACTAACTAAAGAGGTCTCCATACTAGTGACACCGTCTTCTACTGTGATCAACCAACAAGTCTTTTTTTTTTTTTTAACCAACAAGTCTTAATGCAACAAACACAGAAAGAAAGAAATAGAAACATGAGCAGATAAGCAACTAAATGCCTCCAAAAACTCCCAATTCCCTCAAAGCCAACCCAGAGGACATAGAGGAGGAAGAAATGAAAATTTACACAGCCAAATTATTTGAAAGCGTAACAGAGGAGATGGTTTAAAAAAAAACAGATCAACAAGGAGTGTTGCAACTTCAAAGAAAATATATTTACACAGATATTGATCTTACTAAAAAGGTCAGTGAGTTTATGTAAGACACTACTAAATAGCTAAAAAGATCAATGCAATACACTAGTATCCATAGAAAAAAATACAGTTCATAGAATCTACCAACAGAATTCAGAAGATTAAAACTTTTGTTGACGATATAGATAGAAGTGAGTAACATGAAGCAGAGAATCAGAACCAGAAGATAGAATAGGTGACCAGCTAATGAGAGATACATTAAAAGCAGCAAGAGAATATGAAAAAAATAGATCCAACAACTGCTATGTGATACAAAGACTAAGATTAATTGGAACTGTTAAAATGCAGGATACAGCACAAGTGTCATGAGCACATTTTAACTGAAATGATAGCAGTAAAATTTTCAGATAAATGAAAAAAATATAACTTACAGATAAGAAAGCTATACAGAACCCAAAATAGCCTTGATCAGAAAAGAACCACTCTGTGACATTGCATAGTCAAAATCCTAAAAGTCCAACACAAGAACATCTTGAAAGCAATGAGTCACTTATAAAGACAAACAGCATTACAGCCAACTTCTTGACACAAACCTTAAAGACCTGGACAGCTGGGAATCAAGTGTTTTAAATCTTAAGGAAAATAATTTTTAACACAGGTTAATAGATACCACAAAACTATCTTTTAAAGTTCATGGAGAAGTAAGCTATTTCCATGATAAAGAGCACATAAATTAATGATCACCAAACCAGCATTTCTACAAATTCCCAAGGATTTCCCAAAAAGAGATTTTAAAAAGCTGACATGACAAAATGTCTAGTAGAACAAATATACCAAGTAGGGTAAGAAGTTAAATAGAAGAGAAATAAAGGCAGTCATAGACTGGAAAATAAGGTGATGTCAAAAATAAGTCAGTAGCTATCACATTCTCCCATGTGAATGGTCTCAGTTCTCCAGTCAGAAAACTCAGATGGCAGAATGGATCAAGAAACAAAATCCAATGTTATTCTGTATACAAGAAACATTTAATTCAAAAACCAGAAGTCAAAAGATGGAAAACAACATTCCACTACTCCAAGAGGACGGTGGATGGCTGCACGTAGGTGATGATTACAGAACCCAGATCGTTTCCGGGATGCCATCTCTTTCAGGGACAGCAAATAGATGTTGTGACCCTTCTTCCTGATCCCATGCATACATCAGTGATTGGGTGTAACTCTTTTTACAACAGACTCTTTTTATCAGGCTGCTGACTCATGACTAAACAGGACAGTACAGAGTTTCAGCCCACCAGAAAGTGATAGATTCTGCGAGCCTGGGGCCTCACTATGTCTAACGTGGCATGCACCCAATGCGGCACCAGCCCAGAGAAGCAACTTTTCTCTCCAAGAGTAACTCCTGTGTTCTCCTTCTAGTTCCAGAAATAAAGCCCCTGCTCCCTTTTTGCGCAGGCACTTAGCTCTCTCCAATCCCAAAACTCCACAACCACCCCAGAGCTCCACCCCCAGCCCAACTCCATAAAGGCTGTTCCCCCAGATCCCCCTTTTTTGAGGGTTTTTGCAGTCTCTAGCAGCCCTCCTGCACCCACAGTGAAGACTTTTTTTTATCTTTTCTCTCTGTTTCTCAACTGCACCAAAAACCTACCAGAAACATAAAGGAATCTCCTTCACTTCACGGATGAGGAAACTGAGGGCAG